CAAAAGGTCGCAGCCTTGAAAACCCACTGGAGCAGTTGTACACCGTGCAGTGCTGGGTGCCACCATGGGTCGGAATCCACTCGACAGCAACTAACAACAACATCGTTTATTCGGGAGAGTCAAGAAAAGGTTCATGCTGGAGGTAGGGGCATTTGAGATGGTCTTTGAAGGAGTTCTGTAGGAGAAGATGCCCACCCAAATGGACTGGGACATCCTGGAAGCATTCCAAGAAAAAGATTTAGGATAAGTTAGAAAAAACTAATAATAATAACTCTAATTCAGTTTGGAGAAGAAATGAGAATTTAATGAGGCCCTGAGTGATAACGAAAGATTATTGAGAAAGGTACCTATTATGCTGACCCATGTGTAAGATAAGATCAGGGAAGTGGTTTTGTTTTAAAAATAGATAAAATAAGTCTTGAAAATTCAAGTCCCTAATAGTTGAGAACAAGTTCTAACAGTGCTTGGATCCTGTGGAGCAGATGAGACAACCAGGCTCCCTCCCTGCCTGGTGTTGGCTGTGTAGGCTGGGAGCTGTTCAGTTTTCGATGGAGAATGTGCTTTCCTGTTTGACACACTCCCCACCACTCCTTATTGCCCTTCATGCTGCCTTCCTCACTCATTTATCTGCCTGCTTGTTTCCCAAATCCAGTGCAATGTGTGACACATCAGAAGGGGGATTCATCTCTTTCAGGGTGAGTGACAGAAACCCAACCCAAACCAGCTAAAGGGAACCTCCAACCTTTCCATTAGCAGCTGAGCGCATTAACTGTTTGCACCACCCAGGACTCCACCAGAAACAACCAACCAAAACCAAACTAGTTGCTGTGGTGTCAATTCCGACCCGTGGCCATCCTGTGTGTGTTAGAGTAGAACTATGCTCCAGGATTTTCATGACTGTCACCTTTTGGAAGTAGATTGCCAGGCCTTTCTTCCAAGGCACTGCCAGGTGGACTCAAACCTCCCACCTTTGGATTAATAGCCAAGCGTGTTAACTGGTTGCACTACCTCGGGACTCTCCCAGAAGCAAAGGATACTCTTAATTTCAGGCAAGGTTTCTGACAAGAAATAAACTCTTAACCGCTCTACCTTAACCACTAAAATAACAATGGAAAGGACATAGCGATACCCTTTTTCCCCTCCCCCTCCCGGGCATAGGAGGGTTGGGACCCTGGCTCTGGCAAGGGCAGAATCAACAAAACTCATTGCTACTAAGTCAGTCCCGACTCATAGCAACCCTATAGGACAGAGTAGAACTGCCCCCATAGGGTTTCCAAGGCTGTAATCTTTACAGAAGCAGACTGCCATATCTTTCTCCCACGGAGCGTCTGGTGGGTTCAAACCACCAGCCTTTTGGTTAGCAGCCAAGCACTTAACCACTGCACCACTAGGGCTCCTTAAAGGCAGAACAGCAAATCAGAAAGCCCGTGTCCCTACCTGGCACTAAATGTGAAAGTTTTAAAGAGCCATTTGTCTTTGTCCAGAAGTTCCACTCAATTTGCTACCTTTGTTTTTTGATTTGGGTGCTGAACCCCTGACTGTTGTCATAGCTGGAATTCATTAGCTCTCAGCTCCACTAAAGAAAGCGCCTCCTCCCCACCGCTCTCCCCAAACCCAGCTCAGCCAGGCTATTTTCTTCTCTTTCTCCTAACTGTGCTGCTCCAGTTCAGGGTGACTGAGCTAAGGACTTTCCATTCCTTCCACCAGACTCCCAAGAGAGGCTAGCAGACACATAGTTTTATCCTCAGAGTGCCTTGGGAACTGGAGCCTGGCCCGACGATTTTTAAAAATGAAAATAAATGTTAATCGAGTAAGGAAAAGCTGGCGGTAAGCCTCCAGAGCTGGTCAGCAATTTGCCCTTTTCCTTAATTGTCATAAAATGCTGATTCTGAAGCAGTTGAAGATTTGTCACTTTAAATAATTATATCAGCAGTACAAATTGCTCCTTTCCTGGATGGGGAGGGGGTAGCTGGGCTCATGGCTCTGCCATTGACCTTTAGAGGAGAGGCATGCTCCAGTCTTCCCAGCCCCCGTGGCCACACCCCTAAGTTGGAAGACTGTTCCAGGGCTCTCTCGCTTGGGGGAGAAGTACCAGACATCTTTCTTTCTACTGCTTATGAGACCGGCGTCTTAAAATAATAGACTGTCCCCTTGCCTTGTCTCTTCTGTGCATATGCGTCTGTCAGGGCTGTGTGGGGACCGTGTCTCAGTATTACCATACTGTGACACTTTACTTTACCAGCAGAGGGCAGAGAACACAAACTGGCTGCCAGTTTTTTGTGGTTGTTTGGCCCACACAGGATTTTTTTTTTTTTCAGTTAACTTATTTTTAAAAAGGAAACCCTGGTAGCATAGTGGCTAAGAGCTACGGCTGCTAACCAGAAGGTCGGCAGTTTCAAATCTACGAGGCGCTCCTTGGGAACCCTATGGGGCAGTTCTACTGTGTCCTGCAGGGTTGCTAGGAGTCGGAATCGACGGCAACGGGTTTTATTTTTTCCAAGGTTTCCAGATTCTGATGAGTACCTGGATTTCTAGCTCTGCTTGAAAATTCAAAATAAATGATTCCCCAGGGAAATGTAAGTTTCATTGGAACAAAGAATTTGTTTTGTACACAGCTCTAGCTCCAGAGCACAGATTAATGTCTGGCAGTTAATACTACTGAATGAATGAATGAATGAATGGCAGGACATGGCTACTGTCATTTAAAACTTAGTAGCATCTGTTACCCTTTAGATGTAGACTGTGCTGTCCAGTTTGACACACTCCCCGCTACGCCTTATTGTCCTTCAGCGGGCCTTCCTCACTCGTTTACGCTGCCTGAACGGCTTCTGTAGGCACTAAATCTGTGGCCCGTCTTCCATGATGGTTCTGCATCCTTGGTTCTAAAAGCCAGCAACCTACTTCTCTTCTGTTGATTGATCTTGGAGAACTCAGAAATATAAGTCCCCGTCTAAAAATGATAAAACTCTCCAATGACTACGTAAAACCCTAAAACTTCAAGATGTCAGAAACAAACATTACTTAGAGTATGTTTTTGAAATAAAACCATATGATTAAAACAAGAGCAATTAGCTTTTTAGCATCTTTTTTGTGAACAAAATCTGTATCCGTTTTCCATTACCAAATTACCATAACAAATTACCACAAACTCAGAGGCTTAAAACAACACCCGTTTGTTATTTCACAGTTCTGGAGGTCAGAAGTCTGGGATGGCATGACTGGGTTCCCTGCTCAAGGTCACACCAGGCTAGAATCAAGGTGCTAGCTGGCTCCAAGCTCATCTGGAGCTCAGGATCGTTTTTCATGTTCATTCCTGTTATTGGTAGAATTCATTTTCCCACATTTCCTTTCTGGCTGTTAGTCGGGATCTGCTGTCGGACTCCTATGACAGCTCCCTGGTCTTTGTACGTGTAGCCCTTCATCTTCAGAGCCAGCAAGAGTGTGTCAGACCCTTCTAATTCTTTGAAAATCTCTGACTTCTCCTCCGCTGCCAGTCAGAGAAAGCTCTCTACTTTTAAGGGCTCATGTGGTTTGATCAGGCCCAGTTGGATAACCTCCTTCTCTAAGGTCAACTGTAGGCGCTCTGGTGGTGAAGCAGTTAAGCACTTGGCTGCTAACCAAAAGGCTGGTGGTTTGAAGTCACCCAGCGACTCCATGGGAGAAAGACCTGGCGATCTGCTCCTGTAACGATTACAGCCTAGGAAACCCTATGGGGGCAGTTCTACTCTGTCCCATGGGGTTGCTATGAGCTGAAAATTGTAACATAATCATGTAGCATAATCATATACAGCAACGTAAACTGTGCCATATAATGTAACATAATCATGGAGGTGATATCATATTCATAGGTTCCGGGGATGAAGGCATGGAATCTTGGGGAGCAATTTTAGAATTCTGCCTACCACAAAATCTGTCATAGGTCTGTGATATGTAGTTTCCCAAAGGCTAAAATAATTCAGTCTTTGGCTGCATTAGTCGAAGGAAAGCATCTAGGATGGGAGTGATGATCGTCCGGTTTTCCTCTGCACTGCACAGTCTGTGCCTGGAGCATCGCGTTTCACTCTGGCTGCCAGAATTAGGAGAGAAATGGAAACGCATAGCTAGGATTATGCAAGGATTCAAACCCCTGTCCGAGGAAGAGCAGTTAAAGGGCCTTGGAAACTTAACCTGGAGATGGAAAGATGCCGAGGCCACCTGTCAACCATCTCCGAATATTTAAAAGGCTTTAATATAAGAAAACGATTTGTTCTGCACAACCCCAGTGGGTAAAAAAGTAAGGCTCGTGGATAAAAGCTATGGAAAGAGTTTGGCTCAGTGTCGGAAAGTGCTTCCTAATAGTCAGAGCTGGACTGATGGATTGAGCTCTGGGTGTGGCGCAGCCCCTTCACTGGGGCCCGTCAAGTATCAGATAGGCCACTCCTTGGTAGGAATGTCATGAGGAGGATGGGAGGTTGAGTATGACGGTCTTTCAGGACCTTCCAACTCTGAGATCATGACTCAATGGTTTTGGTTTACCTGACAGTTGCTTCTTTGGTCAGCACCTTCTGTTTGTATCTCCTCTACCTGGTATGCTTGTCCTTGGCGTCAGCCATGATGTTGGGTTTTACAGTCTGGAATTCAACTTCACCAAGTCTTTTTTTCCAAGTGGCTATTTTCAGAATCAAGGCTTGAGTATCAGAAAATATGAAGTGACAGGCTAAAAGAGAGGAAGAAATGGTTACTCCAGGAAGTCTCATTAAGCAAATGCTGTGTTCCTTAGGGTTTTCGGCGGCTGATTTTTCAGAAGTAGATCACCAGGCCTTTCTTCCAAGGCACCTCTGGATGGATTCAAACCGCCGACCTGTCGATTAGCAGCTAAGTGCACCCACCACCCAGGGGCTCCAGGCAGCACAAAGGCTGGTACCTACTAGGTGCTTCATAAACTTGTTGAATAACAAGGTGCTTCGGCAGTTCCTTGTATTCTTGTTCCTCCAATAAGAAGACTCTTGCTGATCTTTCAGGCGACACAAGATGTACAAAGAGCAGCTGAACCTCACCTCCCTGGACCCCCCACTGCAGCTCCGACTCGAGGCCAGCTGGGTCCGGTTCCACCTGGGCATCAACCGCCATGGGCTGTACTCCCGGTCCAGTCCCATCGTCAACCAGCTCCTCCGTGACATGCGGCACTTCCCCACCGTCAGTGCTGGTGAGGTTGGTGGGATCAGGCAGGCTGGGGTGGCTTTTTCTCAGACAGGCTCAGTAAACCATGTCAGGCCAGGCTCAGTAAACCATGTCAGGCCAGGCTCAGTAAACCATGTCAGGCCAGGCTTCAGGGAGGAATATTACAGGGTTGACTCTGCCAACTCAGAGACGGAATAATAACTGTAAGAACATAGACATTGATCTTTTTCCTTCTGAAAGCGATCTTGCAACTATAATCTCATCACAACCCCATAAGGGAAAAATAAGTAGGTGTTCTGTACAATCAGTGAAAGTGATTGCCACCTTTTATTGAGTGCTTCTTTTGAACATGGCAGCCCCATGTGTGTCAGAGTAGAATGTGCTCCATAGCGTTTTCAATGGCAGATTCTTCAGAAGTAGATAGCCAGGCCTTTCTTCCGAGGTGCCTCTGGGTAAATTCAAACTGCCAACCTTTTGGTTAGCAGCACACACAGGGTCACCATGAGATGGAGTCTTCTCGCCAGCAGTTGATTCTTACTGGTTTCTTTAGAAAGGAGCCCTGGTGACGCGGTGGTTGAAGTGATGGACTGCTAACCAAAAGGTTGGCGGTTCGAAACCACCAGTGGCTCCGCAGGAGAAAGATGAGATAGTCTGCTTCCATAGAGATTTACAGCCTTGGAAACCCTATGGGGTTGCTATGAGTCGGAATCGACTCAACAGCAGTGGGTTTGGTTTGGTTTTTTTTGTTTGTTCGTTTTTGGTTTTTTTTGAATGAGGCAATATATTCTCTCTTATACATGACCTTAGGACATGGACAGTATTGATGCCATTCTACAGATGGGAAAACTGAGACTCAGAGAGGTTAAGTAACTTGGCTAGGACCCAGTGGTGGAGCTAAGATTCAAGCACAGGTACGCTGATGCAGGTCATGCTCCCAAGCACTCTGACAGACTAGGTGACGCAGCAAGGGATTAGCAGGGGCAAAAGGAGCATCATCTCCTGGCAGGGTGTGTGCACTGAAGGCCCTGTGAGCAGGGGGCCTGGGATGGAGCAGGGTGGAGAGTACAGCCAACTGGAGCGCCGGGAGACCCCCACTGTGTGGCCAGGGGCCCCCAGCCACGTTGCAGCAACCCCTCCCCTGGTCTGCACCTAAGTCCAGGGCCTCCGTGTGGCCGGCTCTCTCAGGAATAAGGCTGGGTGTTCTCACTGCCCTTCTTCTCCTTCACAGATTACAGTCAGGACGAGAAAGCCTTGCTCGGAGCGTGTGACTGCACCCAGAGTAAGTGACCAGCCCCCTCACTGTCACAGTCATGTGAACCCCAGGGGTCACATGCCCCCATCCTGATGGGCCCTGGTTGGGAGGTGATGGAGCATGACTCTGCCTCTCCCCAGGGAACTCAGCATTTCTTCCCACCCACCCACAGGGAGGAAAGGGCATTGAAGAGGGACTCTTGCTGGCCAATATACGGCAAGGCCCAGCCTCACCTTCCTAGCTGGAGCTTATCAGAAATGCAGATGCTCAGGCCTCACCTCTCATTTTCCACATCAGAATCTGCCCTTTAACCAAATCCTCAAGTGATAGGAACGCATTTCCAGATTTAAGCAGCAATTGTCTGAGACAGTGGCTCACACCCCTGGCTGACATTACCTGGGAGCTGTAGAACCTGCTGCCTGCTGGCCCGCACCTCCAGGGTGTTCGACTCGGTTGCGCAGGTTAGGCCCGGGCCCCAGCATTTGTTAAACTCTCCAGGTGAGTCTGATGCAGCCAAGGTTGAGACCCGCTGGGGTAGACGGTTAATAGAACCAAAAAGATAGGAATGAGATAGAGCAGAACTCCTGTGCCAGGACGCTGGGAGCCCAATAGAGACGGGCCTGGACGCTGCCCTAGGCACCCAGCCCCCAGGCAGTCACCGCAGGCAATGAGTAGCCTCACCCACTGTCTTTGTTATCTAGTGCTGCTATAACAGAAGGACCACAGGTGGGTGGCTTTAACAAAGAGAAATTTATTCTCTCACAGTCCAGGAGACTACAAGTCCAAATTCAGGGTGCCAGCTCCAGGGCAAGGCTTTCTCTCTGTGTTGGCTCTGGGGGAAGGTCATCAATCTTCCCCTGGTCTAGGAGCTGCTCAGCACAGGGACCCGGGTCCAAAGAAAGTGCTATTCTCCTGGCTCTGATTTCTTGGTGGTATGAGGTCCCCTTGTCTCTCTCCTCCCTTCTCTTTTTTATATCTCAAAAGAGGTTGACTTAAGACAAAACTCAATCTTGTAGATTGAGTCCTGCCCTATTAACGTAACTGCCTCTGATTCTGCCTCATTACCATCATAGAGGTAGGATTTACAACACAAAGGAAAATCACATCAGATGACAACATGGTGGCTAATCACACAATACTGGGAATCACGGCCTAGTCAAGTTGACACACATTTTGGGGGGATGCATTTCAACCCACTGACCGCAGTGTGTGGAACACATGTCAGAAATTTCTACATGTGATAGGACATGACAAAGGTTTAGAAGGGGCTGTAGGGCCCGGGGCTTATTATCTTTTCTTTAGTTAAATGAGTCAGCTCTGACTCATGGCGACCCCATGTGTGTCAGGGTAGAGCTATGCTCCATAGGATTTTCAATGGCTGATTTTTCAGAGGTACATCACCAGGCCTTTCTTCTGAGTCCTCTCGGTAGACTTGAATCTCCAATCTTTCGGTTAGCAGCCAAGTGCATGAACCCTCTGCACCACCCAGGGACTCCCTTCTTTCACGAAGCACCAGCCATTTGCCATTTTGTAGAATACAAAGACCAGGGAGACTTGTCCCCACCCTCCCAGGGCTCACAGCAGGGCCAGGACAGGGGGAGGCAAGCGAGGCGCCAAGTTTCAGGAGGCAGCTCTCACTGCACGTTGTGCTAGCGCACCCTGGCTGCCTCGCTCACCTTACCCTCGCCCCAGCCCTGGCGCACAGTCTTAAATAGGGAGAGGGAGAGAGAGAGAGACAGACTAGTCTAATAGAACAGATGGCATAACCAAAATCTCTGTGGGTGCAGCCGAGGCACAAAGAGGAAAGGGTCCATTCTTAGAGAAACATTTTTTGACATTTCCAGTGAGCAGCTATCTGGGGAAACCTATTTTGGGTGCCGTTTGTCATACTAGCAGAAAAAGTATTGTCTTGAGCCCGTGGACACACTCTCCGTGGCCTGGCACCACGGAGATTACCATGCAGGCTTTGAGAAGCCAGTCTTGACACCTAGTCTTCAGGGTTTTATTAAATAAGAAAAAAGAGAGGAAGTCAGCTGGGTTTACTGAATTAACAAAGGGTCACAGCCCTGAGCCTGCACCCAGAAACATCGTTAACGCACCCTCTACGCCTTCCCAGTTGTGAAACCCAGTGGGGTCCACCTGAAGCTGGTGCTGAGGTTCTCGGACTTCGGGAAGGCCATGTTCAAACCCATGAGGTAAGTGCCTTCCTCACCACCAGTCACCAGATCCATAAATTGCATTCTCTAAGCCAGATTCTTAAAATTCATATAGGGTACATTACCAAAAAAAAAAAAAAAAAAATGCCATCAAGTCAAATCAGACTCATGGTGACCCCATGTGTTGCAGAGAAGAACTGCTCCATGTGGTTTTTATGGCTGTGATCTTTACAGAAGCAGATCGACAGGCCCTTCCCTCGCAGCACCGCTGGGTGGGTTTGAACTGTCAACCCTTAGATTAGTAGTCCAGTGCAAACTGCTTGCATCACCCAGGGACTTACACTGGGATGTCTCTACCTCATTTTTAAGGAAACCCTGGTGGCATAGTGGTTAAGTGCTACAGCTGCTAACCATAGAGGTTAGCAGTTCAAATCTACCAGGTGCTCCTTGGAAACTTTATGGGGCAGTTCTACTCTGTCCTATACTCGACAGCAATGGGTTTTTTCTTTCTACTTTTCAAAAACTGGAAGCTAAGATAGAGTAGATGAACTCCACTTTGTATCACACCTACCGTGTTTTATTTGTAGAAAGTGCATGAACTAACAGCCTAAAACCTCTGCTCTGGTCAATTAGAAACAAAATACTTTTTTTTTTTTTTAAATTAACCAGCTGGGTTTTTTTTTAATATAATGCAAAAATTTCCAATCTTAGGTCACAAAAGCAAGTGTACCTATTCTTATACCATAACAGGCAGCTTAAGCCTTATTTTTATAAAATTTAGTCCCAAACCAAACATAGTATCAGTTCACAATGTATTTCTTGAAAAATCGTGCATTTTTTTCTATACAGAATTCAAAGCAAGCAGCGTTTGTTCCTTATTAAGAGGGAAACTGGAAAGTAATCTTTGGAAAATATGCATCATGAATATAATTAAAGATTGTATTTTTAAAGTTTGTTGTTGTTAGTTGCTGTCGAGTTGATTCTGACTCATGGCGACTCCATGTGTTTCAGAGTAGAACTACTCCACAAGGCTGTGACCTTTCGGAAGCAGATGGCCGGGCCTGTCTTCTGAGGCACCTCTGGGTCGGTTCGAACTGCCAGCCTTTCGGAGATGATGGTTTAGAAAATTCTGAAGGGATTATCCATTCTGATGGAAGGAATTTGGATTTTTAAAATGAGATTGGGAAACCTGGAAGGTGCTTCTTAGCTTCGACCTTGGGTGACGCTAATTAGAAGTGGGTCAGCCGAGCAAGGAGGGCTGTCCTGTTAAATGTGTTACACTTTTTAAAATAGAATTCCTACTTCTGGCAGGGCCTCTCTGTGGTTTCCAGGGCTAGCTGGTGTTTTTCAGCAAAGTGCATATCACTGTTTCAGTGGCTAAACCAAACCAAACTCCTTGCTGTTGAATCAGTTTCAACTCATAGCAACCCTATAGGACAGAGTAGAATGGCCCCATAGTGTTTCCAAGAAGCGGCTGGTGGATTTGAACTGCCAGCCTTCTGGTTAGCACCCATCTCTTAACCTAGGGCTGTTTATTTACAGCTTTCGGCAGCATTACGTTTATTTATATTTAAATTGCTTTTGCAGCCATAGTACATCCCACACAGAGGCTTATAAAGTTACTTGAAGATCATCATTCTTCCATGTTTAATTAGCATCTAGGCAAAGTCAGCCTAGAGGCCAGAAGCTGCCACTCGATGCCTCTACTGGTTGGAAGGCACTTTCCTAAACACACATTCAGCCAGCCCATCGCATTCAGGCAGGCTGGTGCTTTTCAGGATCCCATTAGAGATTTTAAAACGTATATAAATCAATATCCTCTACACCGGCCTCCCTCAGCCCCCTGGCTGGGCTCCCTCTCCATGACCCAGCTAATGTCCTATTATTTCCTCCCAATCACTCTATGGCCCAGAACGTTCTCTGTTCTTCAAACTCCAGTCATATGAAGTAGCATTTCTAGGGAACTTTTCAGTCTACAAAGTCTTGTGTCACACGCCATCTTTCTGAATCCTTGGACATCTGGCTCGATACTAGCTCTGGTCTCCCTGACCGACCAGTCCTGTCTCTTCTGTAGAACAGTGTCTGTATTTCTTCCCTCTACCTGCTGGATTTAAAAAAAAAAAAAAAAAAGCAACCCCTATCACCAAGGAACATCGCTGGGTGGCACAAATGGTTTGCGCTAGACTATTAACCTGAAGGTTGGGAGCTTGAACTCGCACAATGGCAATGGAGAAAAAAGCCCTGGTGATCTTCTTCTATAAAGATTACAGCCAAAAAAATCCTACGGAGGAGCAGTTCTACTCTGTAACACATGGGGGTGCTCTAAGTCAGGATCAACTTGATGGCCCTGGATTTAGGCTTTTTGGTTGGTTGGTTGGTTTTTGTGCCACCAAATAGGAAACCTGGTGGTGGTGGTGTCTATAGGAGCACCGGAAACCCTGGTGGTGCAATGGTTAAGTGCTATGGCTGCTAACCAAAAGGTCAGCAGTTTGAATCCACCAGGTGCTCCTTGGAAATTCCATGGGGCAGTTCTGCTCTGTCCTATAGGGTCGCTATGAGTCGGAATCGACTCAAGGGCAACAGGATATAGGAGCACCGCCATGAAAATACCATGGACTGCCAGAAGAACGAACAAATCTGTCTGGGAAGGAGTACAGCCAGAGTGCTCCTTAGAAGGGAGGACGGTGAGACTTCGTCTCACATACTTTGGACATGTTATCAGGAGGGACCAGTCCCTGGAGAAGTACATCATGCTTGATAAGGTAGAGGGTCAGGGAAAGAGAGGAAGACCTTCAATCAAATGGATTGAAACAGTGGCTGCAACAATGGGCTCAAACATAGCAACAATTGTGAGGTCGGTGCAGGACCGGGCAGTGTTTTGTTCTGTTATATGTAGGGTGGCTATGAGTCAGAAATGACTCCACAGACACAACATAGGAGCCCTGGTGGTGCAATGGTTAAAGCGCTCAGCTGCTAACCAAAAGGTCAAGTGATTTGAACGCACCAGCCATGCCGTGGGAGAGAAGACCTGGTGATCTGCTCCTATAAAGATTTCAGCCTAGGGAAAGCCTATGGGGGCAGTTCTATTCTTTCCTATAGGGTCCCTATGAGTCGGAATTGACTCGATGGCACGCAACAACTCAGGACAGTATTTTGCAGGAAGCCTGGCTCTTTCTACTTTGCATTGTCTTTTCTTAGCAAGGGAGCCACGAGCCATTCCGGATTTGTTGCTGCACCACATGTGTGTACATACAAAAGCATAAAGGTGTTTTGTCCATTTCTCTCGGGTCAAGCTTATCAGCTCTCTTCTCAGGCTCACAGTTGAGGTCTGAGTACAGGGCTTGATTCCTTCCTTCCTTCCAGACAGCAGCGAGATGAGGAGACACCCGAGGACTTCTTCTATTTCATTGACTTCCAGAGACACAATGCTGAGATTGCAGCTTTCCACCTAGACAGGTGGGCTCGGTCGGGCCCCATGACGCTGATGGCAAGGGCCATCCTGGGAGGGGGCGCCAGGCAGTCCCTCAGGTGGGGCCTCTCTGGCATTTTTCCTTCTGGTTCTTTATCTTCTTCATACCTCAGTGATGCCTTCAAACCCAGTATGTCCCATCCAACCCCATGGATTGAGTAACACAAGGTCTTTTAACGTCACGAGAAGAATAACTTATAATGAAACTAACTCTGCCATCCTGCTTCGCGTGCCACCTTGGGTATGGCATTGCCCTTTGCTCCATCTGGAAATGGGGAGAATGCGCCCACTCCCATTTATCCCAGGAGTCTTAAGAGTATGACTTTAAAAGGTGAAAGCATATTCCTAAACTTGTAGGCCTTCCTATTTGGCCAATCATTGCTAGTCAAAGTGTAGTCCATGGGCCACAGCATGGTGACCAGCCGGGAGCTTTTTAGGAAAAAAAAAGAAAAGCAACTTCTCAGGCTCACCCTTGACGTACTGAATCGGAATCTGCATTTTATCAGGATCCCCAGGTGGCTTGTATGCACATTAAAGTATGGAAAGGCTGACTTAGAGCACAGCTGGGATAGTGGGAAGGTTTGCCCAGGAGGCTTTGTGGAGTAAGGATTCCATCCCCTTCTCCCACCCCTCTAGACCTGGGATGGCCCCGGGCACTCTCGACACTGCAGAGACCTCCCTCAGCAGCCACCCTGCTGGGTTTGGTCAGGGATAGCAGCCAGTCTGAAATGTGCACTGGCCTGGGGACAGGACCTCTCCTCCGCACTCCCTGACCATCCCTCAGATCTGAACAGGGCTCCCTCTCTCCAGGATCCTGGACTTCCGACGGGTGCCGCCAACAGTGGGGAAGCTAGTCAATGTCACCAAGGAAATCCTAGAGGTCACCAAGAATGAAATCCTGCAGAGTGTTTTCTTTGTCTCTCCAGGTAGAGTACTGGCCAAAGCAATATTCTGGGTCTAAGACATGGTAGCCAGCATGCCCACCATTACATTCAGCAGTGGTCCGACCCCTGTCAGTAGGACCCAGTATGGGTCATAGATGCATTATGGGGATGGGTGTATGTTGTCATCATTCACTCCCACCTGGTCCATTTGAGCGTAACAAGATGAACTGTAAATGGAAAAGGTTTTGTGTGAGAGGCTAACGAGCCTATGTGGGCACTGAACCGACAATGCCTGCCTCCCTGGAATCAGATGTGATCTATCCAAAGTAACAACATGCTAACCATACGGCTAGGACACAGTGAGGCTGCATCCCACACTGTCTCTTCTCTGAGACATTTGGAAGTTGGTGCCCAGGATGCTCAGTTTAGTGACATTCACTAGTCCCTACATCTGGAAAAAGTGATGTTTCCTTCTCTTTCTCTTCTCCTCCCCAAGCTGTGCGTTCAGTGTCTCCCTTTCCTCCCAAAGCGTTGCTTGGGGCAGGAAGATGACACCCTCCAAAGCCCCCCTCACTCCTTCTCCTCTCTCCTCCCCATCCTCTAGCCAGCAACGTGTGCTTCTTCGCCAAGTGTCCGTACATGTGCAAGACGGAGTATGCTGTCTGTGGAAACCCCCACCTGCTGGAGGGCTCCCTCTCTGCATTCCTGCCGTCCCTCAACCTGGCCCCCAGGCTGTCTGTGCCCAACCCCTGGATCCGCTCCTACACGCTGGCAGGAAAAGAGGAGTGAGTCAGCCCCCTGGCCACAACCCCATGGCCTTGGGCCTCAAGTCCCATCCTGAGAGTGACTGCAGTCGCTGTCCCAAGAGCCTGCAGCTAACCTGGTGTTTGGACTCCAAAAGCTGCCTCAGTCTTTTGCTTTATCTCATATTGATCCTGGGACCAGCCAGCCTGTGTCTGTTCTCTCCCTTTACTTCATTTTTTCAGTTATAAAGAGCCTACTAAGTACCCAACACTAGGTGCTCGGGGATACAGAAATAATAGACACAACCTCTATCCTCAAGAAGCTCCATGGTCTAGTGGGGCGGACTGACAAGGAACCAGATTATTACCACACAGTGGGATCATCCCTATAAGAGACAGGCACACAAGGAGCCCATGGGAGGGAGTCCTGCTTCATCTGACTAAGCCTCGTGAGGCCTATCTTGTTCAAAGTTGTATGCCTAGCATTGACACATTCCCCTGCACATAACCTGAAAAAAAAACCATTGCCGTCGAGTTGATTCCAACTCATAGCGACCCTATAGGACAGAGTAGAACTGCCCCATAGGGTTTCCAAGGAGCACCTGGTGGATTCGAACCGCCAACTTTTTGGTTAGCAGCTGTAGCTCTTAACCAGTACACTGCCAGGGTGCTCAGTTAATATTAGTTGACTGAATGAATCAGTCTGTTGTTCAAGTCACTCTGACTTGTGGTGGGGAGAGAAGTAATCAGGGAAGAATTCCTAGAAGGCATGACCCATCCTAAGGGACTTGTAGAGGCTGACTGACTAAGAGCCAACTAGATGTAAAGGGACATGGCTGGGGCGGGGGGCATTTCAGGCAGAGGACCATGGTGAGAGAGGGGGATTCCAAGTGGTTTAGGAGAACTGAAGAGCCCGGGTCCAAGAGATAGTGAGAGCAGGTGCACGGGAAGCAGGTGAGCGACACTTCACCAGCCTTGCCCCAGCCGCCCTGTCTCGCTTCCCTGGTGCATGGTGCCCAGCCATCGGTACAGCGCCCAGCACAGCATGGATGCTTGGGACAGTGAAAGGACCCAGAACCTTCTCACCACATGGAATCCACAGCTTCCCATGTCTTTACCCAGGGTCCTCCTAAAAGTACCCAGCTACCATCTAAGAAGCTGCCAGCAGCCCAGGGGTGGGTTGGGAGGGCATGTGTGGGGAGGGCCCCAACACCTTGCCATCTTGGCTCTTCCAGCCCCAGGACTTCTTCTCACCCTCAGGTGGGAGGTCAATCCACTTTACTGCGACATAGTGAAACAGATCTACCCGTACAATAGCAGCAACCGGCTCCTCAACATCATTGACATGGCCATCTTCGACTTCTTGATAGGTGGGTCCCTATGCTCAGGGCACTTGGCAGAGGAGGGCTCAGATGCTGAGCTGGGATTCTCGGTGATCTTGGGAAACAGGACCACCTGGATCATGAGGACTGGCTAACCCTGCACCGCTCACGTGCTCAGAAGTGGTGGAGGTCCAGAAGGGCAGAAGTTAACAAAGAGCTAGAAGTTGAAGGGTCATCACCCATGAGAGAAGCATATAACCCTGCCACCAGGCCCAAGTGGCCCTCAGATTTGAAGCTAACTGTTCCCCTCACCAAGTAGGGAGGGAGGAAGGAGCATGCTACACGTGGAGCAGTGGGAGGGCCTAGGGCAAGGCCTCAGGCCCGAGCGACATGAAGAATCCCACCTTCAAATGCCCACACTGGACGGCCCTGGCTCCAAATTCTCCCCTTCTTTACAGGAAATATGGACCGCCACCATTATGAGATGTTCACAAAGTTTGGGGATGATGGCTTCCTTATTCACCTTGACAATGCCAGAGGGTAAGTGTGACTTCCTGTGTCCCCACACGCCCCTCCTGCAGCCATTTTTTTTGTGCAGCTGCTCAGGGAAGCCAAACGCCCCCAGAGTGAGAAGCCTCCACTGTCATGTTCCCTGTCTCTTGCTTTCCCTTTTCACCATTTCCTTTTTTCTCTTGATCTTTGCTAAGTACCATATGATTCTCCTCCAGCCAAAGAGCACTAGTGTGCCCCCTAGTGAGAAGTTTTCTATAATTTTTTATCAGACAATACGCTCCTGGAGGCAGAGAACATGGCTTTACTCAGGGGCTGGTCCTCTGTAGTCAATGGATGGATGAATGAATGACCAAATGATCAAAGAAACTGCCTGATCTTAACATATTTGGAGGAGCCCTGGTGGCGAAGTGGTTAAGCTCTTGGCTAACCAAAAGTTTGGCAGTCTGAACCCACCAGCCGCTCAGCGGGAGAAAGATGTGGCAGTCTGCTTCTGTAAAGATTACAGCCTTGGAAACTCTATGGGGCAGTTCTCTTCTGTCCTATAAGGTCGCCATGAGTCGAAATGAACTCGACGGCTATGAGTTTTAACATCCTTGGACATAGTGTTTTGTGACCTGACTTAGGAGAGGGCTGAAGATCACTGGCATTTTACCTGGAGCTGTGATCCGAAGAAAGGTTAAGCAGAGGGGATAAAAGAGAGAAAACATTAAGGAATGAGAAAGGCTGGCTGGCCACCCATGAGCACCGGTTTCTTCTCCTAGGTTCGGACGACACTCCCATGATGAGCTCTCCATCCTCTCGCCTCTCTCCCAGTGCTGCGTGTAAGTTTCCAGTTAAAGGGCAGTTAACTGTCCTGACACTCGATCTGCAACCAGGCTCTGAAGTCTTCATCCACTTCTCACGGGTCTAGGTGATGAGTGGGCAGAAGAATGGCATGAATGACCTGAATTGCTTCATTTCTTATACTACAACTACACAATCTTCCTCAGCAACAGCTGAGACATTTTCATCCTTCAGCAAGACAAATTAGAATCTATTAAACCTTTCACTCATCAACTTTCATCTTGAGCCCACTCAGATAATCACCCACTTTTGCAGAGTCTGACAGTCTTTGATATTACTCATCAGACCCCTGCTTCACCCAGCACTCACAGAAGCTCATAAACATTACTATTTGATCACCATCTAAGCAAAATCCTGATTAAAGTCCCATAACTCATATCAGATTGAAAGGAAGCACTAAGGCCTTTGCTTGGCCACCATTTCTCTCTCGAGAATGTCTAACCTACCTTCCATACCTCTCTGGTTTTTCAGCCACGCTTATAAAATCGTCCACCTGCTCAGCTGCAGTATCCGGAACTAATTATAAATATGTGATTCACACCTAGCAAAACCATCTCATTCCTTCCCAGGTGGAAAATTCAGAGCAGAGCATGAATATTCTTAATCAACTTCTTAGGTTAATTTAAACGTGCTTCCCTCTTTGCCTCCCCTCCTCCCTCCTGAGCTGGACAAGAAGACAGTTGCTTTTTATGACAAAAGATGGACAGTTAAGTTGCTTACCCATCTGAGTCCCAGTCAGATTACCACGTAAAAAGAAATCAAAATCCTAAATTCATGATTTGTCCCTTCCCATTTTCATCCCTCTGGTTTTAGAATCTGACACAGAAATATTATAAAATCAGCAAGAAACAACTTGGAAGCTGGCATTACTTAGAACTTCTGAGATGACACACAGTGTCATCATTTCACCTGCTAGAAACTTCCCAGTGTAATATGTTTGGAGAATCTAAATGTCACTTCTTTTTTTATACCCTTAGCAATATCAGAGTAAATGCATACGGCCCAGCACGTGTGGCATTACAGTGATCAGAGCTCAGATGGTTCAACACACCCTTGACCAAAAGGCACCTGGGCAAAGGGCTCCAAAATACTGGATAAATGTCACCTTTCATTCATTCCATTTTTATCTGGTTTTCATTAAAATGTGCTTGAGAAGACATTGGGGAAGAAGGCTCTCAGAACTTCAGCTACAACAGCTGTCTGGGGAAATAGCAGCCAGTTCAAACTAGTTACTTTCTTTACATTTGCTTATTTGGTTCTTATGACTTTGTCCTTTCAGGATAAAAAAGAAAACACTTTTGCACCTGCAGCTGCTGGCCCAAGCCAACTACAGGCTCAGTGATGTGATGCGGGAATCACTGCTGGATGACCAGCTCACCCCCGTCCTCACAGAGCCTCACCTCCTTGCCCTGGACCGGAGACTCCAAATCATCCTTAAGGCAGTGGAGGGGTGCATAGAGGCCCACGGGGAAGAGAGTGTCATCGCCAGCGGCCCAGCAGAACAATCAGCCCCAGACTCTGGCCGGGTTAAATGGACAAGCTAGGGACTGGAAGTCAACCATCAGCAGTAGACTCCCAAGCGCTGACCACTTCTTCTCCCTTCCACCTACTGATGCTAGTGGCCATGAGTCACGCGCTCTGGAAGGACGTAGGGCATTGGGACTATTTTAAAAATACAAGTGGGATCCACTGAACTTGATCTTTATTTCTTGGTGCGTGGCTTCTAGAGTGAATTGCCTTGGCTCCATTTCCCAGAAAGCACTGACTTCATAAAGGCCACAGACTAAATCTAAGCCCTCTGGGAATCTGGATATGGGTCAGGCTTGGAAGGTCTGGAAGCATTGTTCCTAGGAGAGTATTAACCGTAACGAATAAAATAAAAGGACATCAAGTGGATATCTAATTGCCCTTCAGAGCCTTATTCTATGTACAAGTAAAAGAGTAATTCCTGGTCCAGATAAAACATAATCATCTGGCGTATCACCAGCAGGCTAAAAAACTGCAAACAGTAACTCTCAAACTGGCTCAAATGAGACTTCACACTTTCTACTTATATTCCAGTCCTTGTGGCTCAATCGGAACACAATAATCCCACTGACTGATCTTAGAGTAACTTCTCAAATCCAGCCACTTATGTAACAATGGACTGGTTTTCAAATGCCCCAAAATATTTTGTTGTACTTTACAAACTGAGATTAGTAGAAGTCTGACCAAAAAAAAAAAAAAAAAAGTAATAACGCAATGCCATCTGAGAAGTTGTTACAAGAGAGAAAAATAACAGGGATTTGCTCAAAATATTCCCAAAAAGGTTGTTTTAATCTGTACCCTACTAAGTATCCATTGAAATAACACTAAGCATGTCAAGAGTCTAGAAATAAGCAGCCCATAGCAACAGGGGAATTTCAAGGAAGGGAGAACCAGAAGGGGGTCTCGAAGGTCTGGCCAGCATAGACTGGGCCTGGCAGGTAGGTGAATCTGGACTGAGGCCAGAGGAAAGCCAGGGCCCTCCACAGCCCTGGATCACCCACCAACCACAATCCTCTTCCCACCACCCAGTAACCGGAGCCTGTTTTGTTCTCCCGAGGAGCAGGGGGCTGTCTGAAGAGGTGTGACACTCTAGATGCCCCTTCCCTCAGCTGCTTGTTAAAAAAGGCCTACATCAAGTTTACTTTCTGAGCCTCCCTTAAAAGTCAGCCAGTGTATTAGGGATTTTGTCTCCTCAATCTTCTACCTACTGACTTGTTGGCATTTCAAACTCCTCTGATGGGGGTGGGGCGGAGCTTTGTTTCTTATTCTGTAATTAACAACTGAAAACACCACTGACAGGAACTACTCACACCACAGAGGAATTAGCCGGTCCACCGAGAAAACAGCCTGATTTTGTCAAATCGGCTTCTCTTCTGATAAAGGCCAGAGGCTCAAATGCACCAAGTGTGAAGGGAGCAGAAAAAAGTTGTCACTAAAGAGAGTACAAGGTCAAAACTAGAAATGTCATCCAAGACTTCTGCAATGTGACCAGACAGCCCCGTTAGGACAAGTAACAACAGGTATTCCCAACCCACCGGCACCCTACCTCACCGTCCCACCGCCCCTAAACCTTGTGTCTCCAGGATGAGGAAACCACGACCACTCACCAAGTTCATACCGCGTGCAGGTGCTTCCCTCACGGCACACAATCCACACACAGGCTTCCAATCCGCCCAAACATACAGATATAATCCCCCTACCTCTGAGATACAAAAACTAAAGCTCACAGAGATTAACTAAAATCACACAATTTAAGGATTTAAACCTATTCCAAAGTGTTCTTTCCACTATAATGCAAACACCCAACAGTCGTCCACCCAATTTATGGAATTACGTTTGCTTTAAAAAAAGAAAATCCACCTTTTAATAGAAGAATCTTAATGCCAGAGAATTCCACAACTGAGGTGACTTCTCCACGTAGAGCTTCCCACTTCCTAAACGGTTTCTCTCACTTCAAGTCAACTTTCCCCTTTGGAGAGGGACCTGGAAAGTACACACAGGACAGATGAAAAATCCTCAGGGCAAAGACTTGAAAAGAGAGCATAAAATGGCCATTTTGACTGGGGCTTCCAAGTTGCAGAACTTTAGGAAGGTAAAAACAAACAAAAAAAAAACCCAAACCCGTTGCTGCTGAGTCGATTCTGACTCATAGCAGCCCTACAGAACAGAGTAGAACTGCCCCATAAGATTTCCAAGGAGTGGCTGGTGGATGTGAACCGCCCACCTTTGGTTAGCAGCCAAGCTCATAACAACTGTACCACCAGGGTTCCTTAGGAAGGTAAGATACAGCTGTACCTCAAACCCAGCCATTTCTGTGACAATGGACTGGTTTTCAAATGCCCCGAAACAAAAATTTTGTTGTACTTTACAAACTGAGAGTAGTAAAGGTCTGACAATAATAATAATGCAATACCATCTGACAAAAACTAAGGATTAGCAGTTTCCCTCCTCCTTCCTCCAAACCAGTCTAGAAGGCAATGAGTTAACTAAATTTGACCACAATATGCAGAGTACTGAAATACATTATTCACTTATCTTTAACATTGTGTTATTTTTTGCCTAACAAAATTGAGACTCTATTGTTTGAGCCCTGGTGGCGCAGTGGTTAAGAGGTGGGCTGCTAACCAAAAGGTCAGCAGTTCAAATCCACCAGCCTCTCCATGGGAAACCAGATGGGGCAATTCTCTGTACTAAAGTGTCACTGAGTCAGAATCAACTCAATGGCGACAGGTTTGGTTTTGGTTTGATCATTTGTCAAAAATATCAGAACTAAAGATTCCGTCCTAGTACTATCAAGTTCTTCCGACGTGTTCACTTTGAACTGTTGCTCAACTTCCATGAAATAAACATTCTCCTGTCTCTATGGAAAAACTGTTTCACGTCATTGGTAACAATGAACTAAAACACAAAAAGGAATTGTACAGTATGTACGTTGGTGGGGAGATGGGTTTGAAGGAACTCAACTTTTCCAAAAGTCAGGAGGACAGTTTGTTAAGTTTGAAGACTGAAAAAAAAAAAAAAGAAGAAAAAACCTAATTTGGAGATTAACAAATGATAAAAAAGCTCTCCATCTAGTGGTGGACTGTAAAATCACAAAGGTACTCTAAACAGCTAAACTGGCACAACATCCACAAAATGAAGAGTTATACTCATTAGTGGTTTTGTTTTTAGGTGAAGTCCAGGTGAAGTCACAGCTGCAAACTTATGTTTTAGTCGTGCGTGTACACACAACAATCTAGCTTCTATATCAAAATTCCATACAGTAAGAAGGGAAAAGGTTTTTAAGATTCTCCTACCTTTTAAATTCCTGTAACTACAGACTTTACTGGTCAGTAGCTACTATGACAGAAGACTTGGGGGCACTTTAACTGCTTTTCCAGCCATTGCTCCCTACTGTCATTTTAGTCCATCTAGAAACACCTGCCAGAGTCTAAGAAAACTACAAAGAGGGTGTAGCTATAACTTTGGCAGCACTAAAACTGACATCATGCAGCTTCAGTTTCAAAATGTCAATACTTAAGTCATTAAAATACAAAAAAAAAAAAAAAAGGTCCTACATGAGCCACCATATTGGAGGGAGAATTAAACTATGACAAACCAGGGCAGTCAACCTAGGAAAGTTTTCCTTAGTTATATTCCGTTGTGATTCTGGAGGTTCTAACTCCAATGGGCTGGAGGAAGGGATCACTGAACCTAGGCAAGATGTTCGTGTTGCAACACAGCACAAATTAAAGAACGTTCTTCCAGAGTACATCTCCAGCTTCACTGGATGTGAAAAATTTGATTATCAATACACCAATGAGTACAACTTCATCATCTCAGAAACTTGAGTAATAAGCATCAGAAATAAGGCTTTATATATGTCAAATATAAAAACACAGGGAAATATCTAAATTTAAACCAAAGAGTATGCTCATCTAGAAATGTTTCCCCAGTAAGTCTAAGAAAGGTCCAAGGCTACAGAACCAGTCTTGGCTTCAATAAAAAGGAAATTTTTGGGTTTTGATTTACTCTTTTCCTTCCATGACTCTGCAGATAAATCTGCTCTCGATCCACTCTTTGACTAATAAGCTGAACTGAGTATCAATGAAAATAAACACATTACTCTTTTAAAACACTGATCCCAAAATTCACTTTTACTTTTCATTCTTACCCAGTAGAGTAGGAGTTTTTGGGGGATGGAGGACATGGAGAAAAGATAGAAAGGAGAAAGGGAAGAAAAACTGATTAAAGAGTTTAAATTATTTAATTTTTTTTTTTTTTTATTTGACCTACCGTTAAGACAATCTATAACAAAAGGAGTATATTAGCACATACAGTATAATCAGACTGTTAGGCAGGAAACAATACAAAATGGTCCTTTGGCCAGCTATACTTTCTAGAGCAGTAGATCTCATAAACTCACCAAGCTCAGAAATAATGACTTCTAAAGCCTTATACATCAGCTAAGACAAACTATGCCATTTGTGATCTCTCCCATATACTTAAGACTGCACAAAGATAAAGCTTTAAATGTAGTAATTTTTAAATTAGACTTATCTTAAAATTTCTTAGATTAAAAACTGCAAAAGGGAGTAAACAGCAAGCCAAATGCTTTAAGGGTAAAACTTATTTAGAAAGTATGATATGTATCTAAATATACACGAACATGATTATATACACATATGAAACTGCGAATTTATGGCATTCTAAATAACTCATTTAAGTATATTTTTGGCATTTAAACAAAGATCAAATCGAGCTTCAAGCTAATAAGAACATAATTTTTATTTTAGTTTTTTAAATATAAAAAAGGCAGCTAAACACAAAGATAAGTACAGATCAGAAAACCCTCATTCAATATAGATTATTTTGAAAAATAAAAATATTTGTAACAAGGTGACTTTCTGTCCCACACTAAAATGTAAATAAAACCCTTTCCCAGACTTATACGTCAACCTTAGAGACAACCTAGAAAGTGTTCAAATCTATGAACATCTACCAGGACCAATTTAAATTACCTGGGAAAGGGCAGGAAAAGGGGTTAATAATCAAAGCCAGTTGCACACAGACGGAAAAATGCTTGCAGTCACTCCCAAATACACCCCTACGTTATATATAAACCATAACGAAAATAAAAGTGCCTACGTTACAGAACTGTGAAATTTTGTTTAAAAAATTAACAGTAATAAAAATAAACTGTTGGGTATCACTGGTGCACATGGAATAATACAACACACAAGGCTGGAAAATACTGAAATACAGTTAAGACTCAAAACCCAAGTTTTACTTTAAAAAAAAAAAATGAAAAAAGTTTACTAGGGAAATAAATGCTACAGAGGAAAGCAGACCTTCCACAGGACGGCCTTTCAGACCAATTTGAAACAACAGGAAACATCTCACCGTGTCCCCAACCCACCATAAATCCTAGCTGATGTAAAAAGGAGGGGGAAAAAAGGTTGAAAGATTTCTTCCTAAATCTCATGCCCCAGTGAACGTAATGGGGCAAAATTCCCGACACTCATCTTTATCCACCTGACATTTCTCCTTTAGTTGTCTGTCATGACATTTGTTCTGTTTCTACTCCCAGAAAATCCAATCTCCTGAATCGGAGTTCAGTGAGTGTAGGAGATTATACTGGAGTCAAATGAAGTACGTAGATTAACCAAAAGCTCTAAGTTAACAACCAAGAGTGTAGGCCTCAAATCTTAGTCTCAGTTCAGCATCTGGTGATCAGTATTTGGCACTAGCTGGAGAAATAAATGTCTGATCAAAATCTGTGAGAAAAGACCGATGTAGTTAAATCATAACCAAATCATAGGCTAAGATGTGGTTTCAAACTTAAAAAGCCAGGTATGAATAGCCACATCTACAGATACTTAAGAACTGGAGAGGAAACATTAATATATATAAACAAAATCAAGCAAATTGGCTTGACAAACAAAAATTCTGGTTAAAAAATAACTGAACAGATCATATCCAACTGATAATTTTCAAAATGGGCATCTTTCTACTCTTAAACTATAGTTTAAATACAGGCAGATGTCTTTCTACTAAGCTTTTTCTATATCCATTTTTCCTAATCCTTAGAGCTTAATGAGAAATCATTTACTCTATAAACAAATACAGCATATATTGCCACAGTCTAAAATATGCTTAAAACTGGAAAATTATGTCACTTTAAAAAAAAAAGAATCTTGCACTGTTACATCATTACTTTATGAGAATTCATTTGGTGCTGGGATCTGCCTCACCAAAAAGCGTGGCACTCACTGCCCAGACTGAACACTAACACTGCACAAAGAGAAGCAGTAACAGCAAGGTCTCCACAGAACTCTTTCTATTTATTTAACTGAGTATGAGCATTCACTTAATGCTCCAAATTAAAAATGGTGCAAGAAAAGCAACTTTTAATATAAACAGACACAAAGCTGAGGTGCCAGTGGCCACTTGGTGCTGCCATTAGGGAAAATAAAGCTGTCTGCAAGAGTGAAGCATGGACTGGGGAAAGGACGAAGGGAGGCACAGGAGGCAGGTTTCAAACAGACAGTGACACAAAACTGTTGTACTGCTGGATGTTCCGTTTGAGGATATCCGAGCATGGGCCTAGGACACGTTCGAATCTAGGTCGGTCCAGCTTAACGCACTTCAAGGGACCACGAGCAACCACCGTGGCAGCACGCGGACGATTCATCAGCAGTGCAATTTCACCTGCAGAAAGGAAAAGGAGAAGGATAAGAGTAGGCCAACTGCTATGGAAAACATCTTTCTCACTTCTGAGAAAGAAGGGAAAACAACTATTTGTTTCTCTAGTAACTTCTTACAGACAACACATATGCACTTAAAAAAAAAAATGATAAATGAGATAATCAACTTAATTATTCACTGAGTGAAGGTCAAAATGGGGCCCTGGTGGTGGAGTGGTTAAGAGCTCAGGCTGCTAAGCAAAAAGTCAGCAGTTCGAATCTACCAGCCGCTCCTTGGAAACTCTATGGGGCAGTTCTACTCTGTCCTATAGGGTCGCTCTGAGTTGGAATCAACTCAGCATCAATGGGTTTGGTTTTTTTTTTTTAAAGGTCAAAATATCGCACTATTTCTCAGCAAACAGACTGCAATTACAAAATGATATTCAACAAGACAAAATTATGAAAGACTACAGGATCTCACTGCAGGTGACTTAAAAGAAACTGGGTGTTTACTATGAGACAGACAGTCCACATACCAAAGTAATCAGAGGGCCCCAATCTTCCCACTTCAACAAACTCTTCATTTTCTGACCGACGTTGTAGCACAGCAGCTGAACCCTAGAATACAATCACAAAACAAACGTTTTCCAATCCAAGATGACGTTTTAAATACCTTAGATATTTTAGCCATTTTGCAAAAAAAAAAAAAAATGATTCAGTGGTTATTTCAAATCCTGTTTTCACGTGACAATAAAAGATGACTAAAAAGTCAGTCACTAACTACATGAGCTTGATTCCTATTTAACCAGTGCGGTCCTCACTATCCCCAGGAAAAGTTCTTCTAATTAAGCTAAGGTACCTAAAGGGTTCAGACTCAGGGATCCAGCTCACTGCCAGGTTTTGTACAGAAAGTTTCATACTGGAACATACCTACACCCATTCATTTACGTATTACGTATGCCTGCTTTTGTTCTCACAATCAGAGTTGAGTCACTGTGGTAGAGACACTATGGCCCACAAAGCCTAACTTACTTGCCACCTGGCTCTCTTGAATAAGAGTCTCCTAACCCCTGGTTCATATAAAATCAATAAGCAACTACTGAGCCACATTCATGGAAATCTGCGATTTGAATCTAGCTGGCAGGTGAGAATATCTGCTACACAATTCCATGGATTATGAAGATTAAAAAACAACATGGTAAATTTTTAATAATTACCTTTGATCTTTGTTTGCCAAATAACCCAAACACATGCACGGCAAAAAGGAAGTTACAGAATCACCACGGTTTGTTATGCTAAATGGTTGTGTTTTATTTGGCTCGCATAATGAGGATTAATTTGTGTAGGTCAGGATTTGGCTATTACTTCCTGTCTAGGGCTCTTACAAAATTCTGACTCGAACTCATTTAAAAGTGGCGGCCTGGCAGAAAACCAAACAACGGCATTTCAAACATAATTTTTAAATAAAACTGCCAAGTGTTCTTAAGAACTAACGCTATATATCAGAATTTGTCCACCTCTTCCCTCCTGTGGTGTGCAACTTTTCAAGTACCAACTCTTTACCTCTAAAATAATGAAGAACTCATCTCCTGGTTCTCCCTGCACCACAATTTTCTGCCCATCTTCAAACTGGACAGGTTCCAACGCGTCAGCTACTGTGAGACGTTCCCACTTATCCAGAGATTCTGAAAGAATCCAAAGAATTTCTCTAGGTTATTTGATGTTGCTAAAAATGTCAAAACAAAACCAAAGTATAAAGTGATTCAACCAAATAATCATACCCATTCAAAGCTCCAGCAGTGTCTCAGATTAAACATGTCACCTGTCTTCGATTACCACTAGTCTCAGTAATATTCTCATAGTACCTACAGATGACCCTTAGATCCTTACTTCAGTAGCCCAGTGATCGGGGCAATTTATACCAACTGTCCCCAGTGGTAAAAGAATAAGAAAACATAACTAAGAATTTCTAAAGAATGCCATCAGTGCAAATCAAATATACAATTACTGGACCCAAAAGTAACATCATCATTGTCCATATAATGGATAAACAAATGTAACCATTCCAGAGAAAGGACAATAAGGAAAAAAAAAATCAATTCACTGTAATAAAATCATGGCAGAAGACTATCAGAAAGAGAAGTCACAGAGGGACTGTGAATGACCATAGTCAGGAGGACATCTGAAGCACTTCTGTCTCTTCAAGAATTGAGTAGCACAGGTAATTCCAGAAGGCTCTTACCAAGTCCAGTCATTTCTAATTAACAGGTTTTTCATATATTGGCAAATTCAACACACTTTAAAATTACTAATTTAGTCAAAGCTTTGACTCTGCCAAGTAAAAATTCTGTGTATTTTTCATTACTGTAGCAAATAAAAGTATGAGTTAAGATAGAGTTGTTTTTACAAAACACAATAAGCTCTGCTTAAGTATCACTAACCCTTCAGTTTAACAATTCTCCATGCAATCTTCCAAAACTCACCTAAAATAGACACTTTGCTAAGGAACTCCTCATACATCTTCCGCTTTCTCAGCGTGCTTCCCTGTAAATAGAAAAAGTAACATAAATTGTATTTCAAAAATCTGTAATTATCAATAATGCTCGGGAATAATATAAAGTTTCAAACAAAAGAACAAAAACGCTAGAAAAATTGCAGCTTGCTGTTAATTTACAGAATTAAGAAAACTCTTCTTGATGTGAGATATTTTTCTTCATGTTGAAGATTATGAGTCCCTCTGTTCAGCTCTCTAAAAATGCCCTTAGTAACTTGCTCCTACTAAAAGGAAAACCAGGCACATGGCCACAGAAGGTTCTCAGCACCACCATATTGGTGAAATTTTAAATAAACAAATCACCAGTTCTCAAAAAAAAAAAAAACCAATACATGTGATTACAGCTGAACATATTCCCAGCCCAGTCCTTACCCCTAGCTCCAATTCCCCACAGAGTGAGGGAATAAACTGCTGCCACTTAGGAAAAAAAAAATGGATCATATCCCCAAACTTAACTAAGCTGTCTTACCTGCAAATAAACATATCTGGGGGAATGAGAGGGGGAAACACAGTAATATAAACATATATGCATACACACACACATCTCCCAAGTACAGAAAATTTTCAAATTACATTAGACTGCATACTTTCAAATAGACAGGCACTGCACAAATTTAAGAAAACCATTCAGAATGACTAATGCCATTAGCTGGGACTTTAAAACTTCCAAAGCTACTCTATAAATTCTCACCAAGTTCTCAGAAAGTCTGACTATATCAGCAGAAAGTTCCAGTGGCTTTATTATTTTGTTTATTCCTTTAGTGAGCAGGGACATGATATTTGCATTACTGATAACCCACTCTCACAGTTTAAAGAAGCTGATTACTTCTGAATGGCCTTAAATAACTTTAAACACTTAAGGGCAGCACCTATCAGGCTATCTGTGATGCATAAGAAGTAGGTAAGTTACCATGCGTCTATCAGCAAATGGATAGATTACCAAACATGAGCTGACCATTACACATACACCACACTATGTTTCTGGCCAAACTTTTGCTCTAAAAGATCATGCTAAATCAGGCTTAATACAAAGCATTCTATTATGAAAAGAAATAATATTCTCATTTTTATTTGGTAAGAGTGTTATTCAAACATTAGTTACACAGACAGGAATTCTAAATCACACTCCAAAAAACTCTGGTCTCTTACCATAAGGATTCTTCTATAGCTGTCACGGTCAATACCCCACAACTTCACGTTTGTCTTTGCTTTGACAGTGGCTGCTCTAGGTGTTCCATAAATCAAAGCAAGTTCTCCAAAACTCCCTCCTTCCCCAACACTAGTTGCCCATTCGTTGTTGACATAGACCTAAAATGCAAATGACATCCAAGAATTGAGTTTTTTCTACATATACAAATACATGAGAATTAAAAACCCTCACACCTTTTTAAGAAGTCAGACTCCTGAGCTTTGTTTAAAAAAATAAAACATATTAAGCTTTCAGTACACAGAAGAGCAAAATTGAGTTAAATGAGGTAAGAGTGTCTGTGATTTAGTTTAATTATAAGATAATTATCCTTTGTCAGGATAACCAAAGGAAAAAGGTCAACCAAGCATTAATGATAATCATACACATTTACAGAGTACTGTGCTAAGTGCATTACTTCCATTAGGTCACTGAATTTTCCCCATTCTAACAGAGCAATACTATTATTATTCCTACTTCACCGTAAACAAAAAAAAACCAAAAACCTGTTGCCGTGGAGTCGATTCCGACTCACAGTGACCCTCTAGAACAGAGTAGAACTGCCCCCTAGTTTCCAAGGAGCGCCGGGTGGATTCAAACTGCTGACCTTTTGGTTAGCAGCCACAGCACTGAACCACTATGCCACCAAGGTTTCTACTGTAAACAAGACTTACACAAATAAGAAGGTTGTAAGTCTCTTAACTACTAGTGACTGGATCTATACTCTCTCTCAGAATGCACATCTTAACTACTACTCCAGCAAAACTGCATGTCTAGCTAGAGAAATTACCTTTAAAAATAGTCTCTGTGTCATTAAAATAATTGGCAAAAGGTGTAGGTGCAAACACTACTGGAATGTGACACACAGGACTGTAATATTCAGCCCTTCAGAAACACTATTCTTGTTCCTTAGAAGTAACAAAAACCAACACACTGACTTGTAAGATGATCAACATAATTTTGTTGTTATTAAATCTTACATCCATCTCTCCTTGATCAATCACATAGAAGTTATCACCTTCATCACCTACAAGTGAGGAAAGCAAAAGTAAGAACATATTCCAAATTAAAGAAACACAAATTAAAACTTTGAAATTAATGTACAATACTAAACCTATTTTATAGTGGTTCTGTGAAATAAAAATTCAGTAATATATTTCCAAAGTCATAAAATTGATCAATTTTTATACAATCATTTCATAGTGAAGAATACTTCTGAAAAAAAAAACTAAAAAAAAAAGCTACATACACGTACAACGATATTGGTGTGTCAACTCTAATGACGAAAAACACTAGAAATAACTCAAACAATCAAGTACTGAAATATCAGGCCGCACTAAATGAGAAAATATATGGTATATAAATACCTATGAAATATCAAGTAAATACGAAAAAAAACAAAAAGGGGAGGATACCCAAAAGATTAGATCCATGTTAATCTATGTAGGTAGAAAGATAAAAATCAATACGAAACATATAAGCTTACAAACAGGTAGGCTATATGGTGAAAAATATAGGTATTTTGCTTATTTCCTATTTTAAAAATGGTTAATAATCAATATAAAGGATATATACGATATATAGTTACAAAATTCCAAGCAACACTCAGAATAAAAATGCAGAATTTCCTTTAATACTTATTATAAACAAAATTATACTAGATGCTAGGGAAATATCAGTTCCTTGGGGGAAACACTGTACCCTTTTGCTCAGAGGATTTTAATTCAACAAACAGGAAAATGTATAATAGGACAACAGAGGAAGATGGTACAATGAAACAGGAGAAAACCTTCTATAAAAAAAACCAAATACATCCTACATTCTCATCCCCCTCACCCCCAATAATACTGTATCGCATAGAAACAGCAGCCCTTACCTTGCTGAATAACAGTCTCTCCAGCAATAAAAGAGACTGGAAACATGGCATCAAAAATATCACTGTAAGGGAGAGAAGGCCTCATGTTACATTTCACGTGTCTCTTCTGTGGATTCAAACACTAACTTTAGAATTAAAGATGCCAGATTTTCAGCCCGGGTGGTCATCAAATGAATGATTATCAAACCCAGCCCATTGCTGTCAAGTCGATTCCAACTCATAGCAACCCTAGAAGACAGAGTACAACTGCCCCGTGGGGTTTCCAAGGCTGCAATCTTTTTTTTTTTTTTAATTATTGTAGTTCAAGTGAAAGTTTACATTCAAGTTAGTCTCTCATACAAAAATTTATACATGCTGTGACAGCACACTCAGCCTTTCTACCTGATTTCCTGTGTCCGTTCAACCAGCTCCTAACTCTGCCTTCTCATCTCACCTCCAGAGAGAAGCTGCCCATTTAGCCTCACGTATCTACTTGAGCTAAGAAGCACAATTTTCACGAGTATCACTTTATGTCCCACAGGTTCAGTCCAATCTTTGTCTGAGGAGTTGGCCTCAGGAAACGTTTTAGTTCTGGGTTGACAGAGAGTCCGGTGGCCATGCTTTCTGGGGTTCCTCCAGTCTCAGTCAGACCATAAATCTGGTCTTTTTACTAGAATTTGAGTTCTGCACCCCACCCTTTCCCCACGCCATTAGGGACTCTCTGTTGTGTTCCCTGTCAGGGCAGTCAATGGTGGTAGCCGGGCACCATCCGGTTCTTCTGGTCTCAGGCTATGAAGTCTCTGGTTTATGTGGCCCTTTCCGTCTCTTGGGCTAATACTTTCCTTGTGTCTTTGGTGCTCTTCATTCTCCTTTACTCCAAAGGGCTGGGACCAACTGATGCATCTTAGATGGCCGCTTTTTAGCTTTTAAGACCCCAGACGCCACTCACCAAAGCAGGATGCAGAACATTTTCTTAATAAACTTTGTTATGCCAATTGACCTAGATGTCCCCAGAAGGCATGGTCCCGAGACCTCTAACCCGCTACTCTGTCCCTCGAAGTGTCTGATTGTATTCAGGAAACTTCCTAGCTTTGGTTTAGGCCCATTGTGCTGACTTCCCCTGTAGTGTGTGTTGTCCTTCCCTTCACCTAAAATAATTCTTTTCTACTATCTAGTTAATGGATAACCCTCTCCCTCCCTCCCCACCCTCGTAACCACCAAACAATGTTTTCTTCTGTGTTTAAACCTTGAGTTCTTATAATAGCGGTCTTATACACTATTTGTCCTTCTGTGACTGACTAAATTCACTCAGCATAAAGACCTCCAGATTCCTCCGTGTTATGTTTCATGGATTCATCGTTGCTCTTTATCACTGCGTAGTATTCCACTGTGTGAATACACCACGATTTGCTTATCCATTCGTCCAGAGACGGGCACTTAGGTTGCTTCCATCTTTTGGCTATCGTGAACAGTGCTGCGATGAACATGGGTGCGCATGTATCTATTCATGTGATGGCTCTTATTTCTCTAGGATATATTCCAAGGAGCGGGACTGCTGGATCGTATGGTACTTCTATTTCTAGCTTTTTAAGGAAGTGCCAAATCGATTTCCAAAGCGATTGTACGATTTTACATTCCCACCAACAGTGTATAAGTGTTCCAGTCTCTCCACAACCTCTCCAGCATTTATTATTTTGTGTTTTTTGGATTAAT